CTCTCCCTTATCTTTCTTTCCTTTTTTCTTTCTTTTCTCCTCTCCTCTCCTCTCCCCTCCTCTCCTCTCCTCTCCTCTCCCCTCCTCTCCTCTCCGTCGACAGCTTGGAGAGACTTTGTTGATCAGAGGCGTTGCTCCCGGCAAAAACTCCTCTTAACTGACAAGACACTCCTCAGATCTCCTGTCACTGTTACCGCAGCAACAGACTCACACTACCAAAAAGCTCACAGAGATGGATTGGTGTGTCTGTTTGTGTTTCACAGAGAGTAACTAGACAGCTGCCAGTCTGAAAAGTTTCTAAAGAGAGACAAACAAAGATGATTATATCTGAGAGGAGCGAACGAGAGCAGGGGAGATAAGAAAGTTACACAGTGGCCTGGACGATATTTTCCCAACTTTGGCTCCTTGAATGTTATTCCGCACTCTCTCTATCCTTAATATCCATCTTCATCCCCTCTGCTATCTCTACAACAAAGGAATTAAAAGCATGATTTTTATTTGTACTTTTAAATGAATGAATATTGTACACAGTCAACTTTTATCATGAATCTTTTCATGACAAAAGATGATTTGGAATCCAACTTGTACGTTTTGGGAAGCACACAGTCTTTTTTTTTTTTAAATAAAATGAGAAGATTGAAACCATTTTCTAGTCTGTGTGTTAAGTGTCAAGCTAAAGCCAGGAGGTCATTAGCCTAGCTTAGGGTTTGACTGAGTTAATGTTCAGTAACTCATCAAGCACAAAAACCCATAGCTCTGTTATTCCTTTGTTACACTGGAATTAACTGTCACTTGTTCTTTTCTTTTTTTTTTATTGCTGTCGTTCTTGTCTGTTACTTTCTAATGCTTTGTTCCTGCAATGTTCAGCACTTTGGATCAACTATGTTCTGTTTAAAGTGCTATATAAAGTTGAGTTGAGTTGAGTTGAGTTTAAATAAACTTTCTCCTGTCCCTTCACATTCCACACCCTTCAAGTAAATATGAAAGTACTTTTAATCTGATCAATATATACAATATCTTTCTGGAGTATTGCTTTAAAGTTACAGACAGGAGATCCAACCCTGTAAAGTTAGCTGACAGAGAGTTTGGAAGACTTGGGGACCCAGTCAGATCACTTTCACTACAAAGAGAGATTTCAGCACACTAGGACAACTATTGTGTGAATATGTTTCTTACAGAATTCACAGCGTTGGAAAAAATAATCTGAATGTGAACGACAAAGTGACAGACAGCAGCAGATGCTCACAGTGAACGCTCTTTAATTAAGACATGTTTTCCAGGGCTTGGTTGGTTCTTTTGTCTCATCAGTAATACAGACATTCAGAGGACACATTCTCCATGGTGATGTGCAAAAAAGCGTATGAAAGGAAAACAGGTACATTCTCATTTACTGTTGGCCTTCGGCCGCAGACACAGACACTTTGTTTTTGTTTTTATATTTTCTCTTTTTAAATTGTTCCAAACACAGACAACAACAAGCTCAGTTCATTGCATTGATTTTCAGCGCTTAAAAGAGGAGACGAGAAGGAAATTTTCCATCTACACCATTGGGATAAAAGGCCGGTTACCTTTTAATCCCTCAGTGGACCAATTATATTTGCTGTTCCAAACAGACCCCACACACAGGGTTGATCTACTCACTCCGGCTCCTGTGGATGTAAAGTCACACACAGGGATCCTTTTATTTAATTTATACCATTTAAATTTTAAAATAGAAAAAGTGGCTTTCCATTTGGGTTTATTATATTTTTTTCCACTCATATTTCAAGTGACAATTGGGGAATCAAACTCGTATTACCCAGTAGACATGCTTTAAATTTGCAGTGCAAAGAAAATCTGCTTTATCGGTCAAACCAGGGGAAGAATTTTGATGTTTTACAGACATGAGGGTTACAGATATCCCAGTTTTACATAACTTTGATGATCATTTTAAATACTTTATTACACAGCAACATTTGGTCATTTGTTTGCAATCAAAACAAGTCGCACAAGATGAGACTAAAAGTTTTTCAAAACATACGTTAAAAAAGGTTTTCATACAAATTTATGTCAGTTTTAACAAAATCAATTAGCTTCGCTTGGCTTAGCGTAGCATATACATTTAAAGATAGGTGACACAGCTGGCCTTGCTCCATTTTTGGAACCCATCAGTTATAATCTAAATGCATTGTAGCCTCTGGGAGACAGTGTATTCAGGGCTTCCAGTGTCACCAGTTTTTATTGATAAAGGACTCCTGGCTATATATCTAAAACAGATAATTTAGATGACTGCAAAGTTTCCAGGGATTGCATTACAGTAGAATATGTTCCGCCTCTTATACTCCACATGGACTGTTTACTTGCATACAACCAAAGCCAGCCTACTGATTTAGCTTTTTTAAAGCAGCATCTTTAAATTGAGGTTAGCATTGCTCTGTCCAAAACTAAAATATGCCTCTAGATAGAAACGCACTTATCAATATGTTGTATCTCATGTTGTAAACAAAACTCCCATAAGGAATTCCCAAAAGTATTTTCAGCTTGTAACCCTCCTCTAAAAAACTCTATCTTACCAATTTTATAATTCTGTTAGTAAAACTTTGAACAGGGCAGGGCTAGCCGCTTCAACCATGCTAAGCTATGCTAACCACCTCCCGACTCCAGCATACAGAAGTGACAAATGCATCCAATTACTTATCAAGTTCTGGTCAAGACACCAGCGATTTGCAAAAGTGTAGTTTTGGTTGAGGTTGAAAGTAAGTAGAATTTATTTAATCTGTAAACGAGAAGTTTGCTCATGTGTGCTTGTATACTTTCTTGCAGATAAAGATTTTCAGATCGATTCCAATGTCAAGCGGAATCAATTTTAACAAATGTGAGGCTAAAAACCTGCAATGTGTACGCTGATCTTTGCACACGGACATGAATGTGTTGATGTTTGACCTGAAAACTCTGCAATATTGATGCATCCATGCATGCATTTGATTTACTCTGTTTTCCTGTGATAATGAGAATTATCTGTTTGTTTTACCGAACTCATTTATCTCGTATACACCGCGGAGCAAAAGCACAACATAACTTTCCTCATTAGTGAGGGCAAGGGCAGAGGTCAGGCCTATCCCAGAAACCAGCCTTTTGTGTTGTTTTTAGATCAACAATAAATGATCATGTTAACACTGGAAAACAAGCTTTGTTATTTTAGATAATGAGCAAAATTTATCAGTTCAAATGGGAAAACCAGCATTAGTAGACCGCAAAAAAAATAAAATTGAAAGTAAGTCGAGGTCTTAACAGCTAAAATTGACATCTTATCACAGGAAAACCAGCTTCTTTATCTCGAGATGACAACATGAATAAGTCGATATCACAAGAAAACAACCCAAAGTGACTCGTTATCACCAAGGGAAACAGAGTAGATAAAAAATGTTACTTCAGTTTGGAACCAGCGACATTTGGCACAAACATAAAACAAAGACATGCATGCACACAGCACCCACACAGACACTCCCAGTGGGCCCTGTTTGGGAAGAACTAGTCCCAGTGCATCTTGATCACACACACACACACACACACACACACACACACACACACACACACACACACACTCACACACACACTCTCAGAGTACGCTCATTAAAATGGGACTGACGCACAGTCAGATTTTCACAGCAGCAACACCCCTCTTATCCTTTCTTATGCAACATTCATCTTCCACTTTCCGGGAGAGTGAAACACAGTGTTGTGGTCAGAATAGTGTTCAGAACAAACATTACTTCAAATCTCATTTTCATGTCCCTTTTTTTCATTCTCAAGTTTGCTAGTCCAATGTGAAGTGCAAAGTAAATAAACTCACTGCAGGAAGGCGTGTGATGCAAATAGAGCCAAATGTGTGGAACGCTGGGAACTGAAAAGGGCAGCTTTGATGCGCAAGGATAAGTTAGAAATAAAAGTGCACACAGTATTGCTTCTGGATGGCAGAGACACCGTGTTTCGTCTTTGTTTTTCACTTTTGTTCATTTGAGTGTCTTACACACAGACATATCCGGTCCACAGGAGGGAAAGCATCATTGTATCGTCCGAGCGGATTAGCGCAGGATATAGCAGCGATGGAGAACCTGTTCCCATTGTGCTGTTCCTGTCCCAGGTAGAAGAAATCGATTAATGTGAAGCGGTGAGACAGTCCCAGAGGAAAGAAGACTTGAGGCCTCAGCAGCACAAACAGCAGCAGAGAGAGAAGAAAAACCTGGAGGTGGGACAAAATGTTTTGTATTGAAGTCCCAAGTTTTAGCCAAGTCAAATCTAAGTCTCAAACTTTGAGTTTTGCAGGATAAAGTCACTATGCGTCAAAGCCTAGCACTAGCCTATGTATTTATCTGTAGGTATTAGAGTTGTCATGGCACCAAAATTTACCAAAATTGGGCCCCAAATATTAAGTAATTTCTTGAATACTGTCTAAATTGCAGTAAAAACATTTGCAATCTTTCAGTTTCCAATGTTCTTGTATAATTTAGACAGTGTTTCCTCCTCTGCTCTGTGTCTGTTGGCAAGAGACATGAAGGCAAATGTTGCACTTCAGGAGGCCACCGAAGGACTGGAGAAATGTCAGTTTTTGTCGACCTTTGACCTTAAAAGGACCAGAGCCCCTCTCTATCTTTAGATCCTGGTAGATTTTGTCAAATTTCAGTTTTGTCTTTGCTAGATATTGGGGTTAACATTCGTTCAACAACCCTTTTGATACCTGTGTTGCCCCTCCATCCATTGTTTGGTCTTCTTCTTTCCGTGTCCATGCGAGAGTTTGGCTTGTTGTCCCGAAGAATGTGAACTTTAAAATACCAAAATAATGACTGTAAACTCACAGGTCCTCACCAAGAGGACCGTCAACTTGATCATAGTTCATGTTAAATCTTCATGTTTGAAAAGATTCTTACAACATTAAAATAATCCAACAGGATATTTAAGACAATAAATAATAATAAATTAAATTCTTTTATTTTGACAAAAATTGGAAAAGTACCCAAGGAAGTTATGATAAAACACGTTACTAAGTTAGGAGATTCGCTGTTCTTCTGAAGTCTCTCTAGTTCCCTGAAGGCATCACTGATAGCTCTCAGTGTGGCATCATTTATTTCACATCTTATCCACCCTCCTTTCCACCAGCTATTTGAGTTCTTCCATTTCCCTCTTGCATACAAAAAGGTGTCTCTTCTTTCTCAAATATTTTCCTTCCCCTTTTGTCTTTCTCTCCTGTTAAGGTCAGAATCCTCTTCTTTCATCCCTTCATAGCAGCCTGTTCTTTTCTCAAAAGTTAAAATGACCTTTCCCCAAGCCTACCCCGTGAGCAAATCGTCTCAGCAGTGAAACTTGAAGATGATCAGGACGATCCTCTTGTACTCCTTCCTGAAGTTGTGGTTCAGGACGCCATAGACGACGGCGTTGAGGCAGCTGTTGAAGTACGCCATGAAGTAGCTAGCTGTGAAGAGCCACTCAGGTATCGCCTGGCTCAGCCTCGAGTCCAGTGCCACTGCCAGGCCAATCAGGTTCAGTGGCGCCCAGCAGACGGCGAAAAGCACAAACACCACAAACATGGTGAGGAAGTTGCGGAGGTCGTGTGGTTTGATCTTTGGCCGCGAGTCAGGCTTCACCCTCCGCCTCACCTGGATGACCAGGATCCAGATGCGCAGGTAGCAGTAGGTCACGATGCTGATTGGCAGAATGAAGTGCACCACCACTACCGTGATGGTGTAGAGCGAACTCACTGACTGGGCGAAGGTGCAGGAGTACACCCGCGGGTCGTACTGCAGCGACTCCACAAACCAGTTGGGCACGATGGCGATGATGGTGAGCGCCCAGACGAGCACAACGTAACACATCGTGTTGCTGTTGGAGAAGAGTTTGTCGTATTTAAGGCTGTGGCAGATGTAGCAGTAGCGGTTGATGGCTATGCCCGTGATGTTGAAGATGGAGCCGATGACGCTGAGGCCCATAAGGAAGCCGCTGATCTGACAGTGGATGTAGCCGGCGATCCAGCCATCGTGGAATATGGCGGTCAACACCAGCGGGTAGGGATAGAGGGCGACTACCAAGTCAGCCAGAGCAAGACTCACCACGAAGGCATTTCCTGCAGACATGAGGGGAGAAAGAAAGGTTGTGAGCTGGTGAATTATCTAAAGAACAGATTATTCCAAGTTAAGTAAGACTCAACTATTTGGGAAGGTGTTGGGAATCCTAAACATGTGGATCGTTAAATCTTTTTCTAAACAGCTAAATTTAATCTAAATGGTCAACAAGGTACCCCGTTCACAGTCTATACATTCTCAGATAGGAACATACCATAACATGAAAAATAATTCAAAAATCATCGGCACACTGAACCTAACTTTACTGTATTTTATTGTGAGCGAACAACACGTGCGGAAGCTATAAGCTAAATTTAATATTTTGTTCTAAGTCATGTTAATATTGGGACTCCTTATGTAGAGCAACAGGCATCAGCCAATCAGAAAGGAATGATGTCAAAGGGATTAGGGAAGGACATTTTCACACTTCATATTTATTTGAAAAACTCAAAAGGATGTCATTCATTTGGATATGAAAGAAAAAGTAAAAAAATAAATAAATGGACCTTAAATATGTCCTTTGGAGAAACTCTCTGGGTTACCCAATTCCAATCATTGCAAGGGGAGGGAAAAAACAGATCATGTATTAAGAATAAAAGAGTGGGATCTTTTCTTGCATTGTGTGAAAGAGAATGTGAAAGACAGAAGATTTGTCGCTAACAAATAAGAAAACAACACAACAAAAAAGAAAGAAATGAGAGCTGTCAAAAAAAAAAAAAAACAGCTGAATGCTGCTGAACACAAAAGCCAAAAACAAAAAAATAAAAAAACAGGGAACATCAAGCTTGGAACAACTGTGTGCAGGAACAGGATGTTACTGACAGACAGCAGAAAAACAAAAATAGTTTCTATCAAACAGGGGTGTGAGCGGGAGGCAGACATTAACCATGAAGCCAAAACTCTCAGTCGCATTCCCCTACTTTATTTTAATAGCATCTGGATCATTAGGCTCTCCAAACATCGTCTATGCTGCTTAAATGTCTCCACCATCATTACAGGCTAATGATTACGACTGTCATGTACACCCTGCACTCCTTACACTGATCACACACTCTAATTCATAAAATGTTCATAATAATGATGGACCATTGTTGTTCCCAAGGACTGGGTAAACACTGGTTTTTATGCCATCAACAGATCCATTAGTATCCTAGTTTCTTTTTTTTTCCCAGGCTCTCTGCTCCCCCAAACACCAAATGCTTTCACAGTGAAAAAAGTTCCCGCCCTGCTGATGTGCTCTAAAGGTCTCCCACGTGGGGAAATGAATGAAGTTTGAGGGCCTGATTTAGGAGTTTAACATTTACCTGCCGCCCCAAGTGAACCGTGCTGCATTTCAATTCTACTTCCTCAGTGTTTAAGCCATCGCACAAAGCTCCCTTTATGTAACTATCTTGTGTCTGTCCTTCATTAGTATACCAGGCAGGTTTCTATCTCAGGTTTATTCATCCCAAGTTTCCAATTCACACATTTTTCTTTGAGTCGAGTTCCCCTATAATCATCTCCTTCATCCATATTGATGTCAGTCACTGACAAAGCTTGAGCTTAAACAAGTGTTAACTTTGATAAAATGTTGAAGCCTCTGTGTTCTCTTGGCCAGGTCTTGAAGAAACGAAGATCAAGGTGGTTAAGTAAAGTGTAAATGTTTTAATAGAGACAATCTTCTGTTAAACAAATGCCATTCTGTTTCATTCGGCCTCTTTCTACGTCATACATCATGGGTAATTGCTTGCAATTGATGGTAGAGTGGTTTTCTGTATCTCTAGATACATTCAGAAAATCCAGGGTAAGTAAAAAAAAAAAAAAGCAGCACTTGCACTGCGTCTATTACCACCACTAAATTGCCCTTGGGCAATTCCTGCTAACTGCTCCACAAGAGCCGGGTTCTCTGTAAGACTTCCCAGAGTCCATAAAGGTAAAAAGGCTGAAATAAGGGAAAAATCCAGAGAAAACTGAGTCTGCTTCCACATCAGAATTTCATGTCTTGTTGGGTAAAATGTTGAGCTCCTTACGATGTCCCATTGGTAATAAATCTGTGATGGTTATAGATATGCACTTAGAGCAACAATGTGTCATTTTGACACTTTAAAACACTAGTTTCAAAGGTTTATTTAGCAGAACCAATGAGTTCCAACTGGGAAAACGGCATCTCTCCCATTTCCACAGAGCGCCAGGCATAGTAACAGTCGGATTAGTAGGCAGTATACTCTTTGATTATGTAGTAGTTACTTGTGTGGATTTAATTCTTAGTACTCCTAAAGAGAGATTTCATTCCTCCATTCAAATAAACTTCTGTTTTGCCTTTGTTATTACAATTCATGTATAGTCAGACTTAAGGTCCTTCCTCTCTGTACATAAAACCCAACCTTGATAGTAGCCTCTTGTATCTTTATGGTTCCCCTTTTGTTCATCATCTTTACTAGAAGCATTCATATAATTAACGTGTACTGTCCTTCGCAGATGTTTCGATCAGATCTGAAACAAACCGAGTGGCTGGTCTAAAACCAGCACTTACTGCTGAAATAGATAAATTAAGATGGAGGCTTTTATCAAATTACATAAATCTTCACACACCCAGAGGGGGAGTGTGGTCATTAACTCTCGCAGTGTTAATAACACTTCACTCTACCTGCAAAGCAATATGCCTCCATTTAGCATTTATCACCCCCCCCCGCCACTTCATCTTCATTATGAGGAACCTTCATTGTTTGTTATTATTCTGGACGACAAATCTTTGTCACAAGGATACTTCATCAAGGATACTTAGAGAAAAGAGCTGTGGCTCCAAGCACAGCGGCAGGGGACTTGTTAACCGACAGTCACTGCGAATTAGTCCCTGGTTCTGTCTTTATTACTCGAGTTTGCCCTTTGGATCTACTCTCAACCATATACCTCCTCCTCTCATGTGAGCTGAAGATACATGTTAGGGAGAGAGGAGAAGAAACACTGACAGGGTTAGAGATTTATTTCCTTATCAGAGGGATTTTGAGAATGACATGAAACTGGCAGAGTCAGTGTCATTAAAGGCATTAATATTGTGAACATGTAGATGTGTTGTACTTGTGTGGCAACTTTTTTCATAGTCTCAGTACACTTTTAAACTGTGGAGATTATATTAAAAATTGATTATGTTGTATTTTTATTAGGGCTGGGCAAGTTAACACGTTATTTTCGTGTTTACTAATTAGTTAATTAATTATCGTCGACAATTATTTTATCTCGCATTAACGCAGTTTTTATTTATTTTCTTATTGTAAAAGTCTGTTGCTCACTGGCTTTTATTTTGTAAAATTCCATCGTGAGCGAGCCTAGCATGTTGCTTACTGCTGCGGCGCTCACAGGAAAGAGGAAACAGTCAGAAAATAATTGGTGGATAATCAAGCATGGAGAAGGGTACAGAACTTTTACATGGCCATTTTCATTTTAAAGTTCTTCCAGACGGCACAGTCGACAGAGCCAAAGTTATTTGTAACCACTGCGAAGTTGAATTTTCTTAGTACTTTCAGTCTGAAATACCACCTAAATGCAATACACCTCAGTTGATACCAGCAAATCATTAAACGAAAAAAAAAACAGTGGAGCAAGGCTTTGGCAGACTACGTGTGGGAGAAGTATAGATAAACAAAGAGAAGCTAACAAATGCTACAGCGAAGTGGATAGCTACAGCCTGCAGGCCGATTAGTGTTGTGGAAGACGTTGGTCTGAGAAACGTTCTCAGAATCGCAACAAATGACGGCAGGTATGAGATTCCCTCAAGACGCACGAGTTGTATGAAAAGGAGAGGCACTGAACATAGACTGGTTATATGCTGCTCCCTGATAAAAGAAAAATATTTCTGCTGTTACCTCAGAAATTGCCTGTTTTAATGTTATGATTGTGGCTCAGGATTTTCTGGGCAGTTTATTTTTTTATATAACAAACAGAATGACATTATGCCCTTGCAGTGGCAATAAGCTTTAGTTTTGTATTTATTTGCTTTGATTACATTGTTTAAGTTGAGAAGTACATTTACAATAAAAGTGCGCTATACACTACTTTTTAATTTATTCTTGGATTTTGCGTATAACAATGCGATTAATCGTGATTAATCACAGGAACTCATGCGATTAACGCGATTAAAACTTTTAATCGTTGCCCAGCCCTAATTTTTATGCATCGGTTTAAAATCTTTCTCTTATTGGCTGAGTTGAAGTAATATTAAAGATTATGAAGTACAAAAAACAGCAGTTCTTTAAGGAATTGCACGTCTCCTTTAAACAACAGCTAATCACAATTTCAAACATTATAGGGCACATATTATACTCTGTACTATTCAACAAGTTTAAATAAGTCTCAGACCTCCCCAAAACATGTAAACTTTCTTGCTCAAAATCCACTCTGATCCTGTATTTGATCATGTCTATAAACCCCTCTATTTCAGCCCTGCTCAGCACAGGATGTTTCTGTGTCTGTAGCTTTAAATGCAAATGAGCTGCATCTGACCACGCCCCCTCTGGAAGGGGATTTGGCTCGTGCTTTCTTGTTCCATACTGTATTGTTTACGGGAGAAGCAAGACTCAGAGGGCAGAACAAACACCTAGCCGTGAGAGTGTCACCCACCTGGAGGAGGGTTTACTGCCCTTTGTGATGTCATGAAGGGAAAATCTCCAAACGGCTTGTTTGACCACAATTTTCTGAAAAGTTAAGGGCTAGGGGCACACATTAGTATTAGAAAATTATGGTTAAGTGTATATTTGGCGTAATGTGTGACCTTTAAAACTTGGTATGGTCATCACATTTTAGGACTTGTAAGGCTGAAAACGTTTGCTGCTTGTTTGTGATCTCTACAGAGATACAGAATAGTTTCCCTCTGCTCAGGATTGGTTTACAATTCAGGCACGACAACACTGCTTTAGGTTTAGAGACTCATGACTGTCCACGGGGGACTGTGTACATGTCAAACAGTCAGACTGACAGATGGTGAACATGACATACAAATAGCGGCAGGTGGAGGGTTTTGTCACTTGCATGTAAAT